AACCACCGCCGGACGACAGCGTACCACCCACAGACAAACGGCCTCACCGAGCGGCTTAACAAGACGATCGCCGACATGCTGTCAATGTACGTCGATGTCGAACACAAGACGTGGGACGCGATTCTTCCGTATGTGACCTTCGCATGCAACACGGCAGTGCAGGAGACGACGCAGATATCTCCATACATATTGGTCTACGGAAGAAGCCCGGCAACGACGCTCGATGCCATGTTACCCAACGTCACCGACGAAGAAAACCTCGATGTGAGCAAGTACCTTCAACGCGCTGAAGAAGCCCGACAACTTGCGAGTCTCCGTATAGAATCAACAGGCGACCAACAGCCACCGTTACAACCTTCGACGACGCTTCGTGGAATACCAGCCCGGTGAACGTGTTTGGGTGTGGACGCCGATACACCGACGTGGACTAAGTGAAAAGCTTCTGCGACGGTACTTCTGACAGTACAGGGTGGTTCGACGTCTCGGCCCTCTTGGTTACGAGGTTGTCCCCGATGGCATCACGAGCTCTCAACGACACCGATCGCGACCTGAAGTCGTTCATGTCGCGCGCCTCAAGCCGTTTCATGCGCGTTAACAAACTGAAACAGTGTTTTTTTGTATTATTGTTGTATCGTATTTTATTCATTGTACTTTCTTGCATTTTTATTATTGTACCTTCATCTTTAGTTAAAGCATCGGGACGAGGCCTATTTTCAGAGGGGGGCAATGCCACGTTCCATTTCCCAAGTTTTTTGTTATCGTCCCAAAACATCACACAACTCTCAGCGCAAACCGCGCCTGCAGTTTTCGAGAAGGTTCCGTACTGTAGTAAATCAATACGATAAGATCACGCCCACTGTGCGAACGGTACAGATTGTTCTGGAACCTACGCCACCACCAGCGATAACGCTAGAACATTCGACGGCAAGAGTATAAATGCCGACGCGCTTCGCCACTTGTCAGTTGTTGATCGAAGACCGACGCTCCGTTCGCCGCTATCAGTCCGAGACTGCTATTTGTGCGAGACAGCTGCTGTAATTGGACTTTCCTTTTACTGGGCACAGGTTCGCCCAAATAAACAGTTAAATCCCAACACGAAGTCTCCTGTCTTCGACCACGTCATGACCCCATGACAATATTCGAACCATGTGGCCCAGCGTCACAGTGACAGTGGAATAAAAAATTAGCTACTCTGTTAATTTTAATGGTAGTTTCCTCTAGTTATTATTAAAATCTGCAGTCAAATAAGTTATGATGGAGTTACCTAACTGGCCTGTAAACAACGAGTCAAAATACTAAATACAAGCTCATCATTCTCTCCTGGTGCCTGCCATAATGATGTTATGAGCTGCGACCCAGTAATTTGTTTACGTGAATTAATTGGGATACAAGATCTTGAACCATTCCAACACGAGATATATGAGTTGTGAATTGTATCATGTTGTGCTTAGCATGATAATGGCCACTCATTCCGTACCACCGAAATATAATGTATGACCAAACTACTTCAAATTTTTTAGTGAATTTTTGGATGCGCGAGCACAAATAGAGCCCATAACGAAAAATGGTGAATTGTTCAAAGACTCGACTCACACTGCTGATATTCACCAAATATTTCTTGAAGAGATGGTCCGGGAGACAACTAGTATGGTCTGCTGATAGAAAAGTCAAGACGAGGAATGAAGAAGTCTCTCGTCGCAGCAGCCATCGCGCTGTAGCTGGCTTCAGTCACTGCTTAATGATTTCTTTGATAGCCTCCGTTGATGGAACAAGCTTTGGCTAGTACCAAAGACCACAGATGCCGACCAGAACTAAAGGATTTACATGAGACATCTTCAACTCTCTCTCCCCGACAGAGCCTGGGTCGTGAGAGGAGTTAATGAGTTTTCCCTGTGAATCGCTGAAAAGTCAGCTGCCGGAATATTTTAGAAAGTTTATTCATTAAGTCTGGCGGCTATAAAATAGGCTCGGTTCAGATTCGTTTAAAAGTTCTGGAGAAATGTTTGCAACCTCAGCGCGTACCTTCTCTTTCAGCGTGATGTATACCAGCAAATGTTTTTCAAGAACATGCAGACATCCAAGCAATTGTTTACCATTAAATGGCCATAAACACCAAAGAGCCATAAACTTCAACAAACTTCTCCAGTGTCTTCATGCTCTACTTCAAGCAAGCGATACCCGCGGCCTCACTCTCGTGTTTGAAAACTGCCGCTTTGCGCAAGAGGTAAGTCTGTTCTTGGACGACGTCACTAGCCAGTGTGGTGTGCATCCAGGTTTGCAGAAAACAGCTGAAATCGCCTCCTTTCATCCAGCCACTGACAAAAAGGCCGTAAGCCGAGTTACCGGCTAGTGCACGTATTACAAAAGCATCGTTAATAAATTTTCACAGATAGAAGCACCACTGGGTCACCTCACGAAGGGCGACGTGGAAATGGGCGACGTAGAAAGTAGTGAGTGGCGCAAGCCTAAGTATTTCAGGAACGAAAACGACGTCAGCAGGTGCCTCTAGTGCTTGCTCAATGCGATCACTATGCCACTACGGAAAGCCACACCGACGCATGCAGCGTAAAGTTTCGGCGCTGTTCTAGTACAGATGATTGCTGGACTTGAAAGGTTATCACTTTTGCTAGTTGGTCGCTATCTAAAGAATAATTAGACTACTCTAAAACAGCAAAGGCGTCTTTTATCATCCTGACTACGTGATTGCTTCGACCCTACCTTTATAGCAGACATTTAGAGTTATGAAAGACCAGAATGCTTTCTTTTAACTAGCTAAGATGAAAGACCCATCAGGTGATCTCGGAAAAATAGGCTGATACTTCAAGGATTCGATGTTACCATCATTTACAAGCCCGGATGAGAACAGTCTCACGCCGACAGATTCTCTTACGTCTCCATCGACTCACCACTTCAGGATGACCAGGAGGAAGACTGTTTTCGGAAGCGTTAGTGCCGATGACTTCGCTGAATGACAGTGAGCTGAAACGGAAGTCGGGGGCCTTTTAGATGCGGATCATCTATTGTTCAGGTCTATGTTCCGCGGCGTCGGCGTCCCCGTCTGTTCTCTTACTCCTCATCAACAATTCTCCTTCTTTCCTCTCCACGCATGCGCGTTCGCTTTATTTCTATTTCTTCTCTTACACTCCCTCCTTTTACCTCGCCACGCCGCCGCAGAGAGCTCCTGCTAACCCACGCTTGCTCCCCTCTTCTCTAAGCATTACTCCCCGCGGCGTTTACACCACTATTGCACATGTGTATACTTTCTCCCTTTCTATCCTCTCCTACGCTCTCCTTCTCTTGCCTCGCAATGCCGATGCAGATTCGGATAACTTTCGGTAATACTTTCTGCTGCTCCATGTGAAGCAAGCCTATTCCAATGGCAGAGCGAGAGTGCTTTCTGTATGCTTCATTTGCAGATCTCGAGCAGCTGCGTCGTGAGATCTACTCTACGAAGCAATTTTTTCTACTCCGAAAAAAAAAATCGGCGGATTCGACGAGAAGTCGCAAGTGCCGCGTGCCTTAAAACTTCTTGAAACGGTGCCAACTTAGGGCACGCCAATGGAAGCCAGTCGCGTCGGAGCTCCCGTTTTGCTAGCGTAGTGTTGCTGTGGCCAGCGTGCACACTGAAACAAATTAAAAAAACTGGCAGATCCCACGTACAGTGAGAATTGATGATATGCGAAGCACGAATGAGGAAGGTTGATATGTCACTTTCAAATCAGCACAACGTTACGAGGTGGAGGTAAATTATGCCGAATACGACTTCCGTGTCATGATTATCATGTTTGAGTGTGTCGTTTACCATCGTACCTTCGTCATCTATTCACGTCACGTGATGCCATATTTAGTATATGTGGGGCTAGCGAAATGGCCGCGAGCGCATCAAGAGGCTGGTATATTGTCATGTTGTCGCACGACACGCGTCTTTTGATTATAACGTTTGCACCAGTCATATACCTACGTCGTCCATTGATACCACGTAGCACCATATTTGGTATATGTGGAGCTAGCGAAACGGCCTTGAGTGCATCGTGAAGGGCCCAATAATCTCCAACGTTACGTTGATGCCGACGCACACTGGGCGCAGGGACGCTTAGTTAGCAAAACGCGAGAACTCTCTCGTGATGCCATATTTAGTACATGTGGGCTAGCGAAACGGCCGTGAGCACATCATGAGCGGGGTATGTTGTCATGTTCTTGCATCACACGGGTCTTCTGATTATATGTTTGCGCCAGTCACTTTTGTCATCCATTGACGTCACGTAACACCAAATATAGTATATGGGGAGCTAGCAAAATGGCCTCGAGTGCATCAAGAAGGGCCCATTTTACTCCAACTTAACGCTGACGTGGGCGAATGGTGCACAGAGACGCTGCGTTAGCAAAACGCGAGCACTCTATAGTCTGACGCCAGGCGTGACCAGCGTCCGTCGGCGCAGCCCGACAGCATCCGGTGCGAAATGCGACATGCTGCATTTGACGCCGATGCGTTATCCAGACAGCACTGCGTCTGCCTCTTTTCAAAACGGAGAGACGCCGGACGCGCTGAAACGCGCATGTGTCAAAGCAACACAGCGTGGCGCACGCCTGCGAGTATATAGCAGGCCCGGCGCCTGGCATGGCAACAATGGCGTGATGCGACAACACGATCGCCGGTGCGCACGCGCGCCGGGTTACGTCGAAGTGTATTCGTGCCTTGACTGTGGCATGCAGTCATGTTCTCACATGAAACGCATCTCATGATAAAGCTCCGATATCCATAATACCAAATCTGGTTTTTGGTAATACCAATATCTGGTTTTTCCAACATGCTTCTACAACAGTGAGGTGTAATGGGTGGTGCTTCTTTAGTTTTGAGCGTTTTTTTCTCACTGTGGTGTTAAAAGCTTCTCATGTTTCATCTTCTGGAAAGTTCTGATTGTACAATAACATATTGCACAATGATTATCAGAAAAGTTTTGTGAAATCTTTGGATTTTGTATTGAGAAAACTATACGTACATTTTTATCATGCTTTGCTCCTGTCTGCTGAAACAAAATTATCAAGCATTTAGTGCATTACTTTTCAGCAAGCACACTTATTTCAGAACATAAAAGCGACATGCTTGAATTGGAACAAGTAGAGGTAGGTAAATTGTCTGATCAAGAAAAGTGGCCCAACACAGGTAAAGTTTGCTTACGGCCTGCTACTCTGCCCCGAAAAAGGGTAATAAAATAGAGAGATGCTGATCAAAAATAATTGTCAGACCTAATATGACCGACACACTTTCTATACGAGGACACTAAAGGTGTCTGGTTTGCAGCCAATCTAAATACTGGACAGTTGCTGTACTACTTCTTGATTCAGTCCGAAAACCTATCTATTCAAAACATCAATATGAACGCATCTATCTATCTATCTATCTACCTATCTATCTATCTATCTATCTATCTATCCATCTATCTATCTATCTATCTATCTATAACTGATTACATCGACAAGTTCTCGTTATAATCTCCTCAAGAAGGTGCGGACCAAAATTGGCATGAGAAGGTGAGTTGCCTTGATGACTACAACTGTGAGGTCATGGCATGAATAACCTGAAAGTCCTGTCACGTACGCCGTGAAGTTCTTTTCTTCAGGCACGTGGGGCAAGTATCCGTATAACACGAGCCAGGATATGTGGGTATGCGCCTTATGTGATTGTGAATACTTACGTAGCAACGGTGAGAACAGACACTAATCTAAATGCTAAGGCTCAAAGAAAAAAAAAACGTTCGCTGTGCGGATGCGATTATTGGTGGAAATAATGAAAATATTGTTACGGGTAACTTATTTAATAAATTAAATACGATGCACTGTGCTCGGCGAACAAGATGGCGACAGTTCATCAACAACCAGCCACCAACGTCGTCTTTCTCTTTCTTCCAGACAGGCTGTGCCGGCTGTTGCGTATCATAACCCCCCGGCGGTAGAAGCACCGTCTCGGTGCTTAAGCAACTCGGATGCGGTAGAAGGAGGGTGATAGGGCTTGAGTCGAGCTATGTGCACGATGTCACTCGAAGGTGACGATGATGACGTTGAATCGGCTGGAACGATCTATTTATTTATTTATTTATTTATTTAAATACCTTAAGAGCCCAGAGAGCATTACATAAGAGGCGATACATACAAGAGGTTACTATACCATCAGTAAAACAACATATCAGGAAGTAATACTAGTAATCAAACTGAACGATGGCCCAAGCAACATTACTAATAACACAATAAGCAAAAAACACAGTAAGCAGCTCACCATAACAGGAAACATATTTAAAGAAATAGCAATAAACATTCTCTAAGCATGCGTTACACATTAAATGTCAATGGTGGTTACAAATTATTGTCAACTTCTAAGTAAGTTAGTACTGCAGACTGGAAAAGGGAGGGTTCTGTAATAGCGACGATGTTTGGGGGCAGCGTGTTCCACTCGTTAATGGATAACAGCAGAGGTGAAAATTGGTATTTCTTAGTGCGTGAATATATTGGATTGACCTTATGTGCATGACCAACGCGATCAGAAACGTAGGGGCCGGGTGAATGAATGATCGGGAAAATGACGAGTCACTATGATATAAGCTATGGAAAAAACATAGGCGGGACAACTTTCTGCTCGGGGCAAGCAATGGAAGGTTCAGAGAACGCTTAAGACATGTTACGCTTTGGTGGCGAGAATGACAGGAGGTGATAAACCGAGCTGCTTTATTTTGTACCGATTCTAGCATATCAGATAACATTGCCGTGTGTGGATGCCAGATGGTTGACGCATACTCTAGTGAAGGCCTGATCAGAGCTTGATATGCGTGAAGTTTAGTTTTCAAGTTTGCGCATCTGAGGCGGCGTTTCAAAGACCGAGTTTTTTTGATGATTTGCTGGTGATGTATTCAATGTGACTGTTCCAGGTTAGGTCGGAACTAAAGAAAATGCCGAGGTATTTTGTGGATGAAACGGTCTCAATTACGGTGCTATTGACTATGTATCTGACGGATGATGACGGGTTGGCTACGGAAGCAAATCTAATATGTTTGGTTTTTTCAGCGTTGATGTGCATCTGCCACAAGTTGCACCACTCTGTGAGTTTTAACAAATCTGACTGTAGGATGCTACTGTCATTCGGTTCGGTAATCTCCTTATATATAACGCAATCATCTGCGAATAGGCGTAGAGAAGAAACAATATTAGATCCAATGTCATTGATGTAGACCAAAAATAATAATGGTCCGAGCACGGAGCCCTGGGGGACACCGGATTTTACCATGCACTTTCTGGAAATTATGTGGTTAAGTTTGACCCATTGCGACCGGTTACAGAGGAACTCTTGAATCCATTGGATTGTTTTCTGATCAAGCTGGAGGTTACGGACTTTAGTAATTAATCGGTTATGTTGGACGCGATCAAAAGCCTTTGAAAGGTCTATAAAAATAGCATCTGTAGGAGCAGAGCTATGCATGGATTTGTGCAAGTCTGTCAACAATTCGAATAGTTGGGTGTTGCAAAAGCGTTTTTCCCGAAAGCCGTGTTGGTTTGGGATGAGGATGTTGTTTCTGTTCAAGTGAGATATAATTTTCGAGTAGATGATATGTTCTAAAAGCTTGCAAGATATACAGGTTAGAGAGATTGGACGATAGTTGTTCGGACTTGACTTTTGGCCGGATTTGTATATGGGTTTAACAAAAGCATATTTCCAGTCTTCCGGTACACAGCCCGTGTCAAGCGACTGCTGAAAGATCAGCGACAATAAATGCGCTGATCTGTGGCAGGTTAATTTTAGGAGTTTGGCACTAAATTCTGTCGGGCCCCGGGCTAGTCTTGCGAGGAAGGCGTTGTACAGCTTGTGCGATACCATTTTCAGTTATTGTAATTGAAGAAAAAGGGTCGTGAATGGTAGGTTTTAACAGTGCCAGTGAGTCTAGTGGAAGTTCTTCCGTGAACACAGATGCAAAAAATTCGTTGAAGCATTCAGCACTTTCCTCTGGCGACAACGCTTTGCCTTGATCACTCAGTAGAGTTGGCTCAGAAGGGTAGGCTGTAGGGTACACCACGCGCCAGAATTTCTGGGGGTATGTTTTCAAAAGGTTAGGTAAGGTGCAGTTAAAATATTTTTCCTTGGCCTCTTTTATTGAGGCCTCAGCTTGTTTTGAAAGATTTTTATAATTAAGCCAATCTTCCGGAGTATTAGTTCGTGTAGCCTTCTTAAAAGCTCGTTTCTTCCTATTTAGGCATCTTTTTACATCGCGTGTGAACCACGGGTCATTTGTTTTGGTGCTGATTGTTAGTTTCGGGACGCAGCATTCTTCTAATTTTTTTAGTGTGTCACGGAATTGAAGCCAATTTTCGTTTGCTGCGCGATGTTCAAAACTTGACTCAAATATTGGTATAAAATCATCTAACATACGGTTCATCTTATTGATGTCAGCACATGCGTAATTCAATAACTGCTTAGTTACTTTTGATTTGTCGGGGCGTGGGAGATATAGTGAACAATGGACCACTCTGTGGTCGCTAATTTCTTCAAGCACGTGGGTAAGAGCTTCCTGGGAATTGTTAGTGAAAATTAAATCTAAAATGTTATCGCCACGTGTAGGTTCTGTTACTAACTGGGTCATGAGGTGGACATGTGTCAAATGTAGAAAACGCAAGCATTCGTGACGGTGGGAGCTGCTAATGCTGACAGAAGAAGATGCCCAATCTATGCCTGAATAGTTAAAGTCACCGCCGAGAATAAGAACAGAATTTGGATAATGGGCATGCCTATACTCGAGTGAATAATTCAGCAAGTCAACGAACTATGGACCGCTATTGGGGGGTCGCTAGCAGGCACCGATAATTACGGTGGTGTGAGCTGACTGCGCAGTAACCCAAATTGCTTCGATGGACGAGTCGTAAGCGATATCTGACGGTTGGAATTCTTGTTTAACCGCTATAATTACTCCTCCTCCTTTAGATACCAATCTGTCTTTGCGAATAACTGTAAACTGTGCAGGAAAGTTAAGTTTAGAGTTCGAAATGTCGGCCGACAGCCACGTTTCCGTACCGATCAAAATGTCGGCGGAACATGTGTACAAGAAGGAATTTAGGGTGTCTAGCTTATTTAAAAAGCTCCTAAAATTTATTAGGAGCAACGTTACTTCAGATTTGTAGGTGGAGTTTCGATTAGAAGAGGTAGTTTGTCAATCAGCGAGAGGTTGGTGCGGAGAGACTTCATTAAGAGAACTGCCTTGGGGTTTCATTGCATGGGGCGTGAATACCTGTCTAGGAGTTACTTCGACAACGCTATCAGTGACAAAGTTGTATCGTAAAACGTGGTCCCAAATGTACAAACCGGTAAAGCGAACCGAATAACGCTCGCTTCCTTTGCGCTTAAGCTTTGCAAAGTCCCTCAACCGTTTGCGGGCCATCTGCACCTTCGGCGAGAAATCTTCGTCAATCCAGACCTTGGGAAAATCTAAGTTTTTCAGTTTCGGGGCATTGCGCAACACCTCGGTTTTGGACTTAAAGTTTAGAAATTTGATTATAATGGGTTGATCAAAATGCGGGCGTCGCTTACCGACGCGATGGGCGCGTTCTATGTCACCAGCTTGTAACTCAAGGTGCGCGGAAAAAAATTCTTTAACAATTTTTTCTGTTTCCTCGTAGTCTTCTTTGTCGGTCTCGGGAAGGCCTTTAACGATGAGGTTGTTCCGCCTCATCCTGTTATTTATATCGTCTACTACATCAACGAGATCTTCATTTACTTTTGATATGCTTGATTTTACTTCACGTACTGAATCACCTACATCTTCGCACGTTGGCTCAATTTGCGACATCTTTTGCAGACCTGTCTCAATTTCATGAATTTTAGCATTAATGCCTGCGATGTTTTGTTTTATTTCTGTCAGTGTAGCTGTAGTTTCTTCATGAAAATCTTTCATCAAAGTTAGAACGTCATCAATCTTCGGACCAGGGTTCACTTCCACGTCACCAGCACAGAGTAGGAGCAAAGAAAGGCACGTGCTCACCAACAAAA